GGACAAACTACTTATTTTTCGCATACAATAGGAAAGCAGCTTTATAGGACGCTGATTGTGTGTTTTTGTTCTCCAAACAAACAGAACAGTAACAGTTCCAAACCAAGTGTGCGCCTCTCCGAGAAGCACAGTATGGTGAGGTTTTGTTCAGATTTTTTTAACAAATCCGTTGAATGAATGATTCAAAAACTCGTTCAGTAACTTTCGTTCCTGAATGAATCAGTGTTGTTGAAGGAATCGGCTGAATGATGATTGACTCAAAGAAGAAAGCTGTTTGTCGCCACCTAATGGTGTAACATCATGTAAAGTAGAATGAGTAAAATACTGACAAGTCTAGAAAATACACACAAGCGAACCATCTTGTAGAAATTGTAAAATGATTCATACATTTTTTTTTTCATTGTTAAGGATTCAATTAAATATCAGTCTCGTTTTAATAATTAAAAACATGACTGTGAATTGCATTTTTGTTGTTTTACTCCACACTCAATATTTCTGTCAATATTTCAGCGATCATGTCTTTTGCTCCACATTTTTATTTTGTGAACTGTAGACTATGCGGTGAATGATTCGCTCGTTTGAGTTGGTTCTATTCAATGAACTGGTCTCGTCTAGTTAGAAAAATGGTCTAAATCGGTTCACGATTCAGCCTGAAACATTCAAGAGTCTGTTCAGGCATGTAGAAAAAATTAGCGATAAAACTACAGTGCGTAAAAACTATTTACCTGCTATAATCCATTAAATACTATCCTGAAATGCATGCCAGTGATGAAGAAGATTTTAGTAAGACAACTAAAAAGACTCAGGTAAAGGCATTTTCCGTACAAAATTCGACAAATGGCGTCATGTGCAAGACAAGCTACTTCATTTACATGCATCAAAATTCAGGTCTCATAGAGATTTAGGATAATTTTAAACCTTATATTTATAGACCTGTGACAACTTAAGGGTTAGTTCACCCAAAAATGAAAATTAGGCTGTTTTACTCACCCCAGAGCCATCCAAGGTGTATATGACTTTCTTCTTTCAGACGAATTCAGTCGGAGTTAGATTAAAAATTGTCCTGGCTATTCCAAGCTCTATCATTGCAGTCAGCGGGTGTTGCAGTGCTTCAGTCCAAAAGAAGTGAAATAAAAAGCACCCATCCTTAAATAAAGTGTCTCACACAGCTCCGGGGGTGAACAAAGGCCTCCTGTAGCGAATCAGTGTGTTTTTGTAAGAAAAATACCCATATTCAAAACGTAATAATCACTTTAATCTAGCTTGCGCTCACTGTTGTACTTTTGGACTGATGCATGCAACACCCGCTGAGTGGCATTAAACAGCTTGAAAAATCAAAGACAATTTTTAATATAACTCCGACTGGATTCGTCTGAAAGAAGAAAGTCTATTATAAAAAAAAAAAATAAAAATAAATATATATATATATTATAGACTTCCATTGTTTCTGTTCCAACTACAAAATAGCTAAATTTGTCTCTCGCTTGGTTACAATACACTTCACACAAAACACACTGCCTTCCCTGCTTTAGAGATTTTTTTTCTCTCTGTGTGTCATCTGTCAAAAGTTTGCATTTCAAATGATAATTTCTGTGTTGTTTCTGTTTAGGAAATAATTGCCAATCTCACTTTGCAGAGTCAAATATCTGTCTCCTTCCTTCCAGCCATTCTGCGTTCACTCTGCTATATTATTTTCTTCCTCCTCTGGAAAAAAATGCCTACCCAGACTTTGATGTCCAATCCAACTATCTCAAGGTAACACTAACAAAATAAAACATCACATTATTGATGCTGCAATTACAAAACCGATCTAGTCTTTTTGTTTTTTTTCTGTCTCTTATTCACACACTTGCATATTTACACTCACACAAACCTTATCATTTTCTCCTAGTGAGACGTGAATTTGATTATCTTCTGAATAGATAATAAGCACCAAAGATGATTTATAATGTCATTATCGAAGAAGGCATTTTTACAGCATCAATATAATCATATTTCATAAAGTCCATTCCCCCACGACAACCGAATGTCCAACTTTCACCAACAATATAAAACGATCAAAACATCCCGAATAATTATTTTCAAAACAATCACTGTGCGGAAAGAGAGAGAGAAAGCCTTTTTACAGAAATGTAATTTGATTTTGTTGGAGGCAGATGAGTCAGAGGCTTTCACAGCGCGGCAGGAGAAAGACTGACTGCGAGCAGCCTGCAAAAGACATCTCTAATTTTCAGACAGTCATATGACTGGCCATTTTTAACCTGCCTTCACCCCCTCCCACATCTCCTCATTTGCATACAGGGGAATAATAACCCAGAGATGTGAGGCTACAGAAACAATATGACGGGTGGTGTTGATTTCACCTTGGCTATGAAATATAATTGCAGCATGAAGGGAAACGTGAGACGTACGAAGGCCCGTCTGATCTCAGCAGCAGTTTGCGTGCTGCTGCCAAATACCTCAACGGCGGCAGACAGCGCATCGAGACGAGGCTAACACCAGCTTTCATCAACCCAAACATGCCACTTATGGTGTTTAAACAACCTTAATGAGGTCCTTCTCCACACACCCATTTGAAGAGGGCGGTTGGTGGGCACTTGGTATTGACAATCTCCCTAAAAGGGGAGGGGGGTGCTGTAGCAGAAAAAAATGACAGGTTGTTGCTTAATTTTGTTCAGCATGATGGCAAATCTGTTGTTAGGTAGATATTTACAAGAGCTGAAGCTAAACAGTTCATCTGGGTAGAATAGTAACAGCTGCTCTAAGGCGGTGATAAACAAGCACATGCTCACAAAATGAACTCAAAGACACCCTGCCTCAAGAAGATTCTGGAACTTTTTGGTTCTGGAACATGATAAAATAGAAGATCTGAAGGCAGGTGTGGAATCTCTTCACAGAAATATTATACAGATGTGGTCTTTGCCATCACATATTCCAATCCAAATGAATTCAGTGTGGAGAAAGACAATGAGAGTCACTCTTATCTCCTTTTCAAGCCACAAAAATGCAGTATATTAAATTTGACTTTTTGAAATTTGAGTTCTTTTTTTTGGACTAACTTTGTTTCTCAGAAAGACAGTTTAAATAGAGAAAATGTTTGTCAATTTGTGACTGTGTTGTGTATCGCAGTCAAGCTCGAAACTGCTGTTTCTGAAGCAGTCTCAGACCGGACTCCATACTTTGTTCACTAAACATCCACTATACAGCATTTAGTTGCTCATATGATGTGGATTAGAGGGGTTAGATATTCAAGAGTTTAGTTTGAGGCACTCAGCTGAATGTGAAAAAATGAGAGCAAAAATTGTCTTAATACCTAAGTCTTGTTGAGAGTATATTGATCTCTAACATTACATGCAATCTAAAGACCAGGAACAAGACATTAACAAGAGTTGCAGATATGGCAAAAATCAGCGAAATCATTTGAAAAATCACAGTCAGGCATATACACAATACAACCAGAAGGTTCTTTTTTTAATGAATGTGAAATGATGCCTGCAGTGCCCAGAACAACTATGAATCAGATTAATTATAGATCATTTATTCTATCCTTTGCAGTTTTATCGAACAATTCCATTTTTAAAGTATTTAATTGATCTTAGCAGGGTTGTTTAAACAGAGCCAGTGAACTGTAATGAGAGTATTGTCTCAAGACATCTTAGGTTTCTAGAAAGACCATTACAAAAAAAAAAAAAAAAAAATGGCTGAGAGAAACAATCCCGCCCAGTAACACCAGCGCTTGGGAGTCCAATTCAAGGCCTTCTCAACCAAACCCAAACATCACGTATTATCAGAGAAACCACAAGACTGAGTCGGCAAAGACTTCAGCCCTGATCACTGACAAATTCTCCTGCTCTGTTCTGTGCCCCTCGCTCCTCCTTGATGGATGGTGAATTGCATTTCTCGAACGTGGCTTCGCTGTTAATGAGGGAAGATAGCAGGCATCCACATGACAGCACATTCCTGAATGAGCCACATAACTGACACTTCATGATATTTTTTGGCCAGGGGCTGTCAGGATCCAGAACAAAATAATTATGCACATGGATCATTAGTCAAGTCAACATCAAACAGGAAACAAACAAATGTGCCCTTGTATCTGCAGGGATCTGGGTTTAGACGGAGACGGAGGCCACTGCTGCTCCATGATGCACAGCGAGCCGCTCTAAATTGAGAGTTTTGAATGTATGCATAGCTGAATATCTTATTTATATGGTGTGATGCTGTTTCACTTCTTCTGTGTTCATTATTTGTTATGTTTATGTTTTAAGTGAAAGACAAGATCACAGTGATATATTTAATGAGTCATGGAGGGACGTTACTTTTGAATGTCTGTCCATGTATGGAGGTTATGTGTTCGATTGGATTGTGTGTGGTCTAGTCTGAAGGGCTGTCTATAAACTGACAGTGTTTTGGAGACAGTGGCACTCACCTCTCATCTGTCTCCCTTCAACACAGCTGCAAAGCAAGGTCAGACGCTGAATTAGGACTAAAAAGTGATTTCAATGGATTGTCTGAGATGAGCTCAACTTAAATGGGACTGAAATGGACTTGATGTGAAATTTACCCCACCAATGTTTGAGATTTTCCTACAGGATCGATGTGCAGTGGAACTCAGTAAAGTAAAGAGGACAGTGTGTGTACACAAATAGACAGACAGACAGACAGATGGATGGATAGATGGGTAAATAGACTGAAAGACAGACATACAGATAGATAGATAGATAGATAGATAGATAGATAGATACACTCTAAAAAATGCTGGGTTGTTTCAACCCAACGTTGGGTCAAATATGGACTAACCCAGCTGTTGGGTTAAATTTTTGAATTAAAGTTTTAACGCAAAAGTTGGGTTAGTCCATATTTGACCCAAAGTTGGGTTGAAACAACCCAGCATTTTTTAGAGTGTAGATAGATAAAAAAAATCACACCAGTCACAAGTATCGTTAACCATACTTTATTAAATAATAATAATAACAATACAAAAGAATTTTTTTCTGTACAAAGTCTACAAACAACAATTTTTGAATGTTCTGACCAGTGCCGGGATCTCCATGTCTTTTGGTGTTGGCCTCCTGTCCCAGACAGACGAGGTAATACTATCTATCACAGCTCTGCAGCAAAGCCAAAACAGGCCAGAGCTCCAAGGCACTTGGAAAAGAGTCAACAGAGTCCAATAAAAACCGAGCTGAATACACACAATCTCTCCCTCTTCATCGCTCTCTCCCCCAACAACTGAACAATCCGTGTCTCCGGCTGCTTTCCGCACTCCCTAATAAGACGAGCCCCTCCACCCCTCTCGCTTACCCACAAGTCAACAGAACTCCCAGCGTGGCTCTGGGGAGCAAGAGGCCAGTCTGAGGTACAATAAAGAAATGTACACACACTTCCCCCATGTGTGTACTCGTTCTATCCCTCTCTTCACCTCGAGGTGAAACGTTCTGTGAAATTCTCACCCTTCTCTCAGGCTTGCACCAAACCTGGTCTTGTTAGCCTTCATTTTCAGCAGCCCAAAATAAACCATGGAGAAAACAGACAGGTGAAATGAAAGAAAGCAAGTGTAAGGCCTGACTCCTCCGAGGCCCCAGTGGCTTCAAACCCAAGGACTGGTGTTTCAAAATGGCTCTCCTCCAAAACAGTTTGCTTAAGGCTTGATTGTTTGTACATGAAAGTGGCTTGGGGATTTTCCAGCTCCTTCACCAAAGTCGCTCTGCCAGCTTGAGTCTTTGTTACTTCAAGAATAGGGTAAAGAGAGGAGGAGAGAACTGAAGATGCTCTCTCTCTCTTTCCACTCTCTCAACACTTTTTAGCTCAGTGGCTCTGAATCCTTAGCAATCCATAGGTTGCGATGAATTAGTTTGAATTGTCAGCACAGAGTCTTCAACGCTATGCTTAGAAATCAAACAGTCAAAGCAAAAAAAGCAAAAAAATAAAGGAAAAGAGAAAAAATAGACACAAAAGACAATCCTAATACTTCAATCTAAAAGGATTTTTCTGAACGTAATACAGCGTGTTTCCTTTCTCGTTGTCTAATGGCCACAACAAAAACAATATGCTACAAACAGACTGAAGTATAAAACATTCATAAGAGGCGTTGACACTTCAAAACGGTTGTGAAAGTGGCAAAAGACAGGATGGGATGGGAACTTAAGCGAGTCAGTGAAGAGACACGAGTCTAAACTAAAGCAAATGTCTACAATATTCTAGGCCACAGCGTTCACACAATGGAGGCCGAGATTTCACAAGCAATCTGTCTTCTAGTCCGAGTGCCTCTCCCTCTCTTCTATCTTCCATTAAGGATTATTAGGTTGTATTTTTCTTTACAAATCTATAGCAATATACATTTCTTTAAAGTTATTTTTCTTTTTTGAGGGGTAGAAAGTCATTAGGTTGATATGTGTTGATCACGATTCACTCCCATTGAGCTGTCCACAGGAAGCCTCTATGCTCCCAGTGATCCTTCAACAATCCCGGTCAGAGATCAGCCCTATATTAGTGCCGTGAGGTCCATTCACAGTTTTGGATCAGGCCGACACCAGTTCACAAGCGGACAGAGTGCCTCTCCTGATCGCCTGCCATCAGGCATCGGAACAGCAGCGCTGCTGGTTGATCTTCACCTTGTGCTTGATGCCATCGTACAGCTCGAAGTTGTAGTTCTCCAGCGTGGTGGTGCTGCGGGATGACAGGCCGTTGTAGGAGCAGGTGCAGTAGAGCAGGAGCCCGGCGCAAACCGCTCCCAACAGAACGCCCAGGGAACTCATGACGATGATGGTGACCAGGATGGGATCAAGGGTGTACAGCCAGGCGTTGTCTTTCTCTGAGATCCGCGTCACTGGAGGTTCTCGTGAGGGGTTGGGTGTGGTCCAGGCAGGGAATGGGAACCCTGGAAACAGGAGACAAAACAGTAGATTTTATATTGTGCTCTAATAAAATGTTTTTCAGTTATTGAATTATTGAATGCAGGTACCCTGAAAACAAGACTTAATGTCTTAAAGAAGTTTTGCTTTTCAAGTATAAAATACTGATTAATAAAAGATGTTTTGCAGTGTTGTTTCAAAAGTCAGAACAATTGATGCATTAGTAGACTTGCAGTTAGTTTTCTCTTTCCAGTCAGCTGCTGTTGTAGCAAAGCAATAGCTTTCTAAAAAGGTTGAAGTGTGTTGTATTCTTGCATGTGTGACCCTGGAGCACAAAACCAGTCATAAGACGCACAGGTATATTTGTAGCAATAGCCAACAATACATTGTATGGGTCAAAATTATCGATTTTTCTTTTATGCCAAAAATCATTAGGATATTAAGTAAAGATCATGTTCCATGAAGATATTTAGTAAATGTCCTACCGTAAATATATCAAAACTTAATTTTTGATGAGTAATATGCAGTGCTAAGAACTTAATTTGAACAACTTTAAAGGCGATTTTCTCAATATTTTGATTGCACCCTCAGATTCCAGATTTTCAAATAGTTGTATCTCAGCCAAATATTGTCCTATACATCATTGGAAAGCTTATTTATTCATCTTTCAGATGGTGTATAAATCTCAGTTTAAAAAAATTGACCCTTTATGAGTGGTTTTGTGGTCCACGGTCACATATGTCAAGCTACCTGAATAATATTACATTCTGTTATGGCACAGACATCTGAAGGTAACTCTGTCGCCTGAGTAATGGAATTTGTTACAGGCCGAATAATGAAGGGACTGTGCATTTATAATGCATTATCTAGGCATTCCCGACCGCATTTGTATACTTGCTGTTTCAGACCCCCTTTGTGTTTATCATTAAAATACACCAGTCTATGCTTGAAGGTTGATGAATAGATTTACCTTGACCAATGCGCTCTCTGACATTGAATAGACGTTTATTTCCAAGGTCTTCGGGTCTTCGCTCTGTTTGGAAGACAAAAACAACCCAAATGAAACACTCAATGTCAAAATGCGTATACAAAAAAACTATTTTGGAATATTCCAACTAAAGAACATTATTGTTCCATGAGCCAGTAACAACAGTACAATGTGTGAGCACAAAATGGCCAACAGACTGTGATCACACAGACTTGGTTACAAACAGCTGTAGCTATGGAGGCGCAGCGTCTGTTATACATCATCAAATACACACAAAAAAAGAGCACAAACCACTTTAGTTGCAGTTTGTAGAAAAATATCACTTTATTGTAACATTCCATACAACATTTCCAAGACCACGAAATTCAACAGGCTAAAATATACCTCATACTGTATGTATTTAAACAGGCTGAAATGCTGTCGTAGAGAGAAAAGAAAAAGCTTATATAGATGGCAGGGTCAAAGCCCCACATTCACAAGGGACAAAAAAGTGCACACAACCACAAATCCATCAGAACTTGTATGCAAATTAAGCATAATGTCGACACAATGAACATCAAAAAGCCATGTTCAGTAAACATGATTCATAGACAAACTGTTTTAATCAAGATCAAATTCTGTAGATGGAATATTTAACTTTTTTTATGCAAAACATATACAGTTTACAACCTGGAGTATTTTTTGCACATTAAAATTCAGTTTCTCCAGACAAACACTTTAGACATCTATCGCCTTTTCCTGTCCCTATCTCTGAGGAGGGGTGAGAGCATATACTGTTTTGTGCAGGTACTATCAGAGACAGACTCTTGGCATCATATGAGGCCCCTCTGAGTGCTTTTGCTCATTAATATCTTTTGAGAGACAGCAAAAGGAAAAGACTCCCAGCAAGAATGCTTACAACGGGCTTAATAAAATGTAATCTGGTCCATTACCTAATTAGAAATATTCAAAGGAAGTCTCGGCCACAGTAAATTTAAAAACATATTATGATCAGCTGACATGTAATTTTTAAGCAACTCAGATTAAATAGCAAAGAGAAAAACTGAGATTGAAATTAATTAAAATTAATTAATACATTCAGACTAAAAAACAAAATGCAGAATCACGACTGTTTAGAGTTAAAAGCTTGATATAAATTCATATATTAATCACACAGGCATATGAACCAGGACTCTTCTTGCTCAAAACAAGTGTCAAACGTAAGTCAAATGGTATAATTCCTCAAGTCGAGACAAGACAGACAAATTTGGCATTGGCGTTGATACAAATTCAACTGGGGGCACAGAAACTCATAGAAATGTGTTGCATATCGCAAATTCTGCCTTAAACAAGCAAGAGATTGCACAATATGGCGGTGCAACAGAGACCACATGACTCAAAACTGAGCTGAATTGATGTCTAGCATGAAAAGCTGCCGTGTGTCCCATCTCCCCAGAACACACTCTACTGTATAGAGGATTAGGTGGAAAAAGAGGAGACAATGCTCTACAATGGGCCTCCCGGGTCAGGTGGTCTCTCTTGCTGTTTGCGAGGATCTTTCATGTGCTTTTGTGTTTAAAACAAACCCCTTCAGACCCTGGATTTTGCAGAGGAGGTCTATATTTAGAGCAGGCTTTTCTTTGATCTCGCCTTCCATCTCCTCACACATTCTTTCGCGAAGAACAGATAAACGGGCGAAAGAGGGCCAGCCCGTCCATGATGGGGGATTATTTTCACCTACTGCCAGATGGAGGACATAACAAGATATCAGGATTTACTTTCTCCTTTCATCCCAGTTGCTTTAGATGAAGCCAAAATCTGACGTGCCCGCCTGACAGATTTCAGCTTTCAGTAATGGATGAAGCCTCAGAATCTTTATGTGTAAAGAGGAAAATGTTTTGTTGGGGGAATTTCCAACCTGAGCTCTATTTTTTGTGTTTGTTTGGTACAAAGGAGAACACTGAACACTATGTACTTGGACAGAACATTGCAGACCATAGCATGGTTTTCTTTTCAGAGGTATACCGCTACGTTTCAAATGGCACATGAAAGAGATAAAGCAAATACTCGCACCAGGACACAGGGAAAATTATTTTGAAGTGCATTTTAAAACTTTCTCCTGCATATATAGTATGCTTTGATACGTTAAAAGATGAAAAAAATCTGCAACAAGATTGTCATATGCAAATAATGCTAATAACACAAAATGCTAATTATGTTTTTCCCTGTCTGCTAACTCGACTGATAAATTGGCAAAAAGCTCCCCAAAAATTACAGATAAGAGGTTGGTTAGTAATTCAGTAAGACATCAGCAGGTGTACTGAGTGACACTATAGAAGGTGGGCTTGGAAATGGGCTCCAACTAACATGCTAACGTGCCAGCTCGCTCCCTGAAGCAAAATCAACTAGCGAAGCGCTCTTCCACTGTCTGACATTTGGCAGATTTACAAAGCTCTCCGCTTCTGCTCTTTTACAAGACTATGTGTAATCAAAATCTCCGGGGAAACAACACACAAACACACACCGCTTTAGCGTTAGCTATAAAAATAAAGCCAGTGCATCAGTTAGCTGCATATGCACTTCGGTTCATCTCGGCTGAGTATGAATACGAAAGGATTAAACAATAAATGAGAACAGTGATCGGCTTGAACTAGCCCAATGCCACTGAAGCGTCTTAAGGCCAGTGTTGTGTTAGTCAGTCAAGGCGGGGTCATGTGACCTTTGCATATAGGCGAAAAACATACCGTATCTCTTCAGACGTACTGTAAGTGCCAAAGCCCCAGTGACTTTCAGAAAATAAAAGTTTATATATAGATAGATATTGACAGATACTCAAAATGAACTCTTGGAAAACAAACAGCCTTCAAAATGCTTTTAAGAAGCTTCATTCAATAGTCAAAGGAGACCAAACAGATCACTGGAACAGACTGAATCCATTGCTCTACTCAAGCTCTTAGAGAAAGATAAAAGGACCAGTCCTCATAATGTAAGCACTTTGTAGAGGTACCAGGAGTTTAAAAATTCAGTACATTACGTGGTACCTAACCCTTCCACACACATCCTGTAAAGAGACATGGATTCTCTAGCAAGAACATGTGTCCCAGAGTGTTCGACGTTCATGCTTTTGTCTCTTTGAAACTTCTTGTCAAACTCTTCAAGCCTCAAGTGTTCCTATGTGCACATGAGATGCGGCACACATGCAAGGAAAAGTTTTCCTTTTTGTACCGATGCCTCCCTCCCGTCGCTGTTCGCAGATTCTCCTCAGAGTTTGGCAATGCTGCCGAGTTCTCTTGACTGTACAATAGGATTGGTCATGAACAGGAGATTAGAGCTTTTCACAGTAAGGTTCCCATCCACACAGAGAGAGAGAGAGAGAGACAGAAGGGGAAAGGGGGTCCCTGCCAGTAAGGATTTTGGCTGGATGTCCCTTCGGCACAGCAGATCTCCTCCTTCCCAGCACTGGAGCGCCACAAAAGAGCCACAGAAAACTTGACAACTCTGGTGCTTACGTGTCCACATCTTCTTCACCTCATCCTCGACTTTAAAGGACACCACCTAGATGTCCTGCGGGAGGAAGCGGTTCATTGGTGTCATCTCAACACTGGGAGCAGGGCTCTTGCTTCTCTAACCTAATTGTTAGCATTGGCTCCACCCCAGGTCCGGAGAGACCCCCGGGGCCGCCGCCTGCGTACTGTCCCGTGTACGTGCTCTGGTAGGACACCGAGTGCTGGCTCTTCTTGGCCGCCAGGTGGTAGCGATGGCAACACAGCACCATGACCAACGTGACGCAGCCCAGGAGGAAAATGGCGCCACCTCCAGCTATTACGTAATACCAGTAGGTGGGCATGGGCTGCAGGGACACTGTCGTGTCAACAGTGGGGTCGCTCCAGCCAGGTGAGGCTCCCCCTGGTGGAGAGACACAGAAGAGTTGGCTTGGGGTAGAGAGGCATGCAGACTGCATAGCTTCAAGCCATCTTGGATTGTACGTGAATGATTTTGCTCTGCTTTGGTGCTGCATACAAACAAAACAAACACAGACACGCAAATGCACATGCACGTCGCCTGTCCGCGGCTCCTTTACGGGCACTCAATAACTGTAGGGACAGACTTTTGTCCTTCTAAATCACATTAAGAGTGCAGAAATGTTTTATGGGTTGTGAACAGATTGTGGTATCTGCGCTAATTTCATATGCAACCAAATTCAAAGGCCATAAAAGCATATAGTGTCATAAGACACCGGCTGATGTCAGCACCTTCTCTCTTTTGTAATGCAATATATTGGCGAGCGTGTGTTTGAGTGTGTGTGTGTGTGCGTGCTCGGTAGTTTTTCCTTCTGGGGGAAAGTTCTGTTTTCTTGCATGCATGGATCTGTGCCAGCTTCATCTGCCTCAAGCCAAAGTCTTCCATGAACCCAACCCAGCAGTGCATGAAAACTGCTCACCCATCACACGTGTGTACACACACACAAACCTCCACCAATCACTCTTTCTATTCCCTTCATTTCATCTATCTCTCGTCTATACATAAGCACGCATGTAATCTAGGAATTCTGACTGCTATGGGAAAATGAATCTACTTACACTGGGAATCATTTCCACTTCAATTAAAAGAAAGGGAGGTAGTTACTAAAGGATTACGTTATTAGTGGGCTTGTGTGCTCCACAATCATTTAAAATGGAGTGTATGAGGATTATTCCACTGCAGCTGAATCTGATTGACCGCAGTCATACAGCTGCTGGGGAATAAACATATGACATCCATAGCAGCACAGCAGCTCAAACACACCACCAATGCAGAGTTTTGGAGAGTTTAGCTGTTCTCATTACACTGTTTTAAAATTGTTAGTACAGTGACTTCAAGAATTTATTTATTTATTGGTACATTTAAAATTTGATGAAGAACAACAGTGCAATGTCACCCCAGAGGAAAGATGAGAGTCAAATAGTTTTAAAAGAGTTCTCAGTGAAGTTTTGTATCAATTTTGTCTCAGAAGTTTCTTAAAATTCCATAGGAAAAAATAGACAGGAGATGTGTCTATTTTTTTAATTTTATATTCTGACCTGTAAAGCACCTTGAATTGCAATTTATATATTTAAGATGCAATACAAAAATATTATTATTATTAAATATTATTATTATTATAGAATTAGGTGAGAAATCATATTGAAATCTCAAGGGGTAATATGCCAACTGAATCTACGGCCACATTTGATGATGTTTAGGCATGACACCGACACCATATAACACAGCATGTGATGTGGGGCTACAGATGCATGCTGGGATACAGCCCATGCTCCAAATATCCATATGACAATAATGATAGTGAGGACAATAATCATGACAGCAATGATTTGACATAAAGGCACCAACATCACTGAATGCACACATAAACAAACAAACTGCACCGGCGCTAAATCACACTTCATTTAAACTTTGTTGTGGGACTGGAAACAGACTTTACAGAATCCCTGTGTGCTGCTGGTGTGAAGCTCAACAAAAAGTATAATGATTATCAAAAGCCCTTCAGGTGATGCAAGCTGCTAGGCAACAAGCAGGAAGCACAAACATTGGCACAGGAAATGACAATATGCCAGAAAACTCACCAGTCATTTCAGGGGGGAATGCAGCGAAGGGTTCTGAAATGAGAGGGAAAAAAAGAAAGATTAGGTAAAGAACTGGCACAAATGAAGTATATTCACATAAATAACAACGGTGCAGATGGAATTCTGACACATGTGACTGAGTATGATTAATATCATACGAATAAATTACTCTGGAGCTCCAATTCCTTGACAAAATTAATTCTGAGGTGCTGTAAGCGATGTTAACCATTTCACTAACTCTCCAAAATCCTATTTTACAACTGTCTAAATATATCCTGATATCTCAAGACACCTATTTGAGTGATGTCTATCATGTAGGAACATTTCCTGCGTGATATTCATTATAGCCCCCTTGACTACATATGTAAATTTACTTTAGCTCATCATAAAGACTTTTGTGTAGTAGAGGGGTCTGAAATGACAAACATAGGTTAAGGAGAAACAGTAAAAGTAAAGAAGGGAGGAAAATGGGATTGGGCTGTGTGTCATTTCGGCAAACTGTGCTGTGCACACACACACTCAGAATGCCAGAGAATCAGAATGCCAGTTCAGAATGTTTGGAATGCATTCGCTTTAAAAAGGAACTCTGCAGAGAGACAGGGGACAGATGTGGCAGCGACGCAGGGCTGGCGCATGCACATCGAACAGCTAATTAATAAGAGCAGTCCCAAAGCTGGGGGCCTGTGGCAGCTCACATCAATTTTGATTCATAACTAATCCTGATTTTGCTGATCATAGTTTAAATATAATAAGTCACATGTTCTCAGAGGGAACAGCAATGTTTTGCTCAGTAAATAACCTTCACAGAATTGTGAGTGACTGGCCGTGTAGCTTTGTTCGACATTAATGTCTGTTCTGTGTTTGTGAAAAGCTGCACCGTCGAGAGCAGGCCTGCTTGGTTATTCCCTGGCATGGCTCTGGAAAGCTCTGTTTACAAATAAGAAAGAAGAAGGAAAAGAAACTAATGAAACATAGATTGGGATCAGAGCCCACAGGGTGAGTGTGGCCTAGTTTTCAGCTTTTTGCGCGAGCAGAGCACTTGAAAAACACTTTCTGTGTGATTAATTTTTTCTTGGGCTTGAATGGCAAGGGTAGGGTGGGCATGGAAAGCAGAATGGATCATTTTATGACATGCAGGGTAAACAAAATTTGTTTTTTTTTGTCTGCCAACGCTGGGTAAATTTAGAAAAAGTATATTTTTTCTCCCTTAAAATCTATAAATATTTTTTACCTGCCAAAAAATATATATTTTCAATGTTTAATTACAAATAAATATTTAAACATATAAATAAAAGTACATACAAATTCTTATGTCTTTTTTCCAGATTTGTTAAATAAATTTTTTTAATTTAATTTAAGTTTTAGTGGCTTGATGTAAAGGCTGTTTTTTACTCGTGTTTTACTTGCATTTGGTGCTTGGCAGGTGTTAATTTTGGTCCCTGGTGACAAATATGGTGGGTGACAGTTGAAAGAAAGAAAGACAGCGAGACAAAGAAAGACCCAGATGTTAATACTTACGTGTACACTGCTCAAGCTCGATGCTGGAGCTCATATGGATATTATCGACCCAGATGTGCCCTCGACTGCCACGCTCGAAGAA